CCGGCGCTGCCGCGGACGGGGGGCCCTGCTGTGCATCTGGCCAGCTGCTGCGCAGAGTTTGCGCCGTCTGGGGTAACCTGTGCGGTAAGCCTGCTTTATGGGAGAAAGAGGGGGGCCACAGTGGAGCCGAGGCGGGGGCGAAGCGGCCGGTATCACAGCGGGGCGCTTTTCTTAGACGCGCCCTAGCTTCCTACAGCCCCGGGGTTGAAAAGTCCTTTCCGGACGCGGGCACACGCCACGGGCGCCGCGTTCTCGCCGAAGTCGGCGTTCTTTTAACGGCTTCGAGGTGCTGTCGGCGATCACGTCAATGACAGCTTTATTCCGCCCACCATTATGGTGAAAGGAAGAAGACGGTCGATTAAAGGGTTAGCCTCCTCCCCTGGGAGCACTTTCCTCTAGTGTCTGGATTGCAAGAATTTTGCATTTTAGCCTTTGGGGAGTGGGACGCACTAGGGGGCTGCGCAGGGAAAGCTAGCTCTCACTGCAGGGACCCAGCTCTTCCTCCTCTGCTCTGCGCTGGAGGGCTGCATTTTGGTGTTTGTCTCTGTTCATTTGCTCAGTTTCCTTGCTCTTACCTAATACTCTTTTTTTCTTTTCAATTTCTGGAATGCTTAACTTATAAAATACAGAGGGGGCTCTAACCAATCCGTGACTCAGATTTACAGATGGAATCATTTTGCCAAATTTGCTTCAGATCCTCTTTAAAAAACATAAAATTGCTGCTATTGGAGGTGCTATCAGTACCTCCTCTTTCCCTAGCGGTATCTACAGTGCTCAGGTTTGTGCATATCATTCCCTTGCATATTTTATACCTGGATCACGGTGAAGCCATTCACAATATATCGTATTGTGCTTTTGAATTTTAATGGTATTAAATGATATGTATCTTTTTTGCAACTTGCTTCTTTTCACTCAGCATCACATTTTGATGTTTATATGTGAATAAATTGGATAATTAATGTTATCTTTGGCTCATTCATGTTAATTGCCGGTATAGAATTCCATTGTATGAATATACCATAATTTATCCATTTCCCTGTTGATGGACTTTCAAGTTGTTTCTGGTTTTTGATACTAAAATCAATCCTGCAATAAACATCTTTGTACTTGTCTGCTTGTGCACACTTGGAAGTTTGTCTAGGAAAGAAGTACACCTAGTACTAGATTGCTGGATAGTAGGATATGTGCACCTTCAATTTATTCGATTATTACAGAAACTCTCCAAGTGGTTGTGCTGATTTTCACTCTCACTGGTATTGAGTGAGGACACCCATTTCCTCACATCCTTGCTAACACTTTGTTATTGGACTTACATTTTTGCCTTCTCTTTACTGACCAACTTCCATATATCTTTAGCTTGCAGCTCAATTTGCTTGCCAGCCACCTTGGCTTCTGCAATAGCCTCGTGTCAACTTACGGGTTCATCTCTCACAGCTAACTGGCTCGGTCTTATTTCATTTGGTCCCTAAGATTAATTCCAAAGAACATTTACTTTGTACCTAATTATGTCACTTCCTGTGGATAATGTAAAGGGTAATTTCCATGGTATGTTGTATGTATCTCTAGTAGCTGGTGAGGTGATTTTAATTAAGAATACTTTAATATGATGGTGGTTTAAAAATTTTTTCCTCTTAATGTAATATTTGATCCATTCAAATATATGTACCGTATATATAAGTTGTGAAGCAAAACAATAAAATGAACTATCAATCTATCACTTGGATCAAGAATCAGTGACCAATATTGAATATGTTCATTTACGGTGGCTACTTTTCTATTTTGTGTATATGTTACTCTTTTAAAAAAAAATTTCAGGTATGTATATATCTCTTGACAATGTATTGTATGTTCTCTGATATTTCAAGTTAAAACTGAATACAATTTTCTGGGACTTGTTTATGTCACTTGCTGTTATGTTTTTAATAATCAATGCAGTTGAGTTTAGATGTCACTAATTTTCACTGCTGTGTGATATTCTGTGGTGGATATAACACAGTGAAAGCATTCTTTTCTAATGGACATTTTGGTTGAGTCTTATTTTTGTTATTAAGATAATTTTTATACATATATCTACCACAGATTCTTGCCTCTAGTGCAAGAACTTCCGTTTCTCATATTGGGGTATATGACCCCCTAGGAAAGGAATGAAAATCTTTGAGGGCACAAGTGCTGTTAATTAATCAATTTCTAAATCATTAACTTACAAACGTATGCTTTCCAAAACTTGGTAATGCTTATATGATAGAGACTTCCTACTGGTTCAGCTTTCCCACCTTCCCTTTTACAAGTAGCAACTTCTATCTGAGAAAAGACATACCACTCACAAACGGTGGAATCTTGCCAGGGCATTGGCCCAAGCGGAAAACTCATGAAAAACACAAGTGATTAGTGTCAGGGGAGGCCTTACCCATCTCCTCAAGAATGCATGCATTTCCAACAAAATTTCACTTTTTATGATTGATTTTCATTGTACAGTTATTTTTGAACAACTGTATGCTTATCGTTTCAGCCAGTGTTATCTATTTAATTTTTATTTTAAAATGTCATCAGGATAGCAATTATTTAAACTTAAAAATTTTAGATGTCATCTTAAAATGTAAAGGATATGTAATTTTAAAAAGCATTTTGCTGGTTTGTGTGCTAAGACATGTTGGAATAACCACTGTGTTACTTGCTAGACGTGCAGTTGGTGGGTCATGGGGTATGAATGTTCAATTCTACAAAATGCTGCCAAATTGTCTACAGTGGTGTTTATACTAGTTTATACTTTGGAGAGCAATTTTTATACTTTGACCAGCAGTGTCTTAAGAGTTAAAATTGATATATACCTCTCAAACACTGTTATCATCAAATGGATTATGAAATGATGTGCCGTTGTAGTTTTATTTTGCCTTTATTTGATTAGTAATGAAATTGAACATCTTTTGTTTACAAACCATTGGTGTTTTCTTTGTGAAATATCTAGTCATGTCTCTTACCCATTTTTTTATTGTGCTACTCCTCACAACTGTTAGTAGACTGAAAACAGTGCTCATATGCATTGTAAATTTCTTCTTCCAGTTTGTGTCCTGTCTTTTTCACTTTTATGGTGTATTTTGGTAAACAGGAGCTCTTAATTTTAATGTAAGTGATGGGATACCATCCCTACCTTGGGGTAATAGAGACCTTTTCCTTTTTAGATGCTTTTAAAATGATTTTCACACTTCAGTTCATAATCCATCTGCAGCTGATTTTTGTGTATGGTGTGAGATAGTAATCCATGTTCATGCCCCCCATGTAGGTATAGTTGTCCCCATATGGTGTATTGAATTGGCCTTCTGTTTACTGGTGGTCTTCTGAATCACCTCTTATACATGTTTATTTTCTATATGGTTCTGACTCCTCTTTCTTTGTCACTTCTCCGTTTTCTACCTTTATGCTGATAACACACTGCTGTAATAATTAATACTGTAGTTTTATCAGAAATCTTGCTATTTGGGTGGACTTGAGTTTCAGCTGTTCTTGGACCTTTGTTCTTGTTTTAAGAATCAGCTTGTCACGTCACATGAAAACCCTTTGGGATTTAATTGGAATTGATTGAATCAATTTGGGGAAGAATTGAAATCTTTAAGATTTTGAGCCTTCCTGTCTGAGAACATGGTACGTATTT